CAGCATATTCCAGAAGTCTTGAGGTCTTTGAGTGTAGCCTTCATTGATTTGAGACCTACCATTCTCTCACTAGAAGCCAAAGCCTATAATGGCAGCAGGCCGTAAAAGAGACCCAGTTTGGGAATATTTTAATGAAGTTCCTCTACCTGTGGGTAAGGCAGGCATGAGTGCAAAATGCAAACAAAGTGCAACAAAGAAATGCAAAGCCTGGTTGCCTGAATGAAACAACATCATGAGAAGTGTTCCTTCTCAGGAGGAAGCTGCGCTGAAGATGATGAAAGGAACATGTCTGAACATGCAGGATCTTCAGGTTGGTAACAACCAAAAAGCATGTACTTTTATGTAGAAATCCATGATTAAATTGAGTCTTCCTGACTAGTGATTTAAATCAACGTGATTTAAATCAAATCTACTCTGTCTGTGAATATTGTAGAGTGATTCACTCAAAACGTTTTCAACTTTTTTCCCCCAACAATATTTCTCTCCAACTAAGAACAAAATGTATCCAAACATGAATTCAACTGTAGTTAAACATTACAGCTAATTAAAAGTATAATAATTTAAAATAACATTGTATGACAATAAAATCAGATTGTGTCTGACACTGCAACAATAAGATTTGTACTTTGGGTTTCTGGAGTCCAAATAAGTAAACAATTTTTTGTGGGGTGAAGGAGGCAGAGGGAAAACAAGAGATTTCTAGTTTGCACACTTTCCCCACTATTAAAAAAAAATATCAGTAATCTCTATGGTCCTTATCTGAGCACCTACTACACATTAACGAATTTATCCTCACAATACCCCAGTGATGTAGGAAAATATTATTAACCCCATTTACAGATGGGGAAGTGAGGCACAGAGAGAGTAAATGATTTGCCTGAAATTACACAAGAATTCTGTGACAGATCTGGGCAGGGTCAGCTCCAGGGTTTTTGCCGTCCCAAGTGGCGGGAAATTTTTTTTTAAAAGGCCGCGATTGCGATCAGCGGCACTTCGGCGGTAGCTCCACCGCGCTGCTTTCTTCTTCGGCGGTAGGTCCTTGCCTCCAAGAGGGACCTAGGGACCTGCCGCCGAATTGCTGCCGAAGAGCCCGACATGCCGCCCCTTCCCCTTGGCCGCTCCAAGCACCTGCTTGCTGAGCTGGTGCCTGGAGCCGGCCCTGGAACTGGGAATAAGATCCAACTAACCTGTATCTCAGTCCAATACCTTCATCACAAGACCATCCCTTCCTCTCTCTACAGAGCTTTTCTAATGCATTGGAGGGACTATAACATTGATTTGTGCAGAAATTAAGCTTTCATTTTTTTTTAAAAGCCTATAGAGTTTTTAAGATATTAACATGAACCAGTATGATGCTGTCTTACTAGTTCTACAGATAGCTAGTTCCAGTACTCCTACTCATCTTAAAGTTGCTTTTCCAAGCAGCAGCTGATGAAAATTAACTAGACTCTGGTTGTTTCATTGCTGGTATTTAATAACTGTAGGCAGCAGTGAAACTGAGAAAAGTCATGTCTGAGAAAAGTACTTTACAGGCAGGCACTGCAGCTATCTCCATGAGAGGAGGACCTAAACAAATAGAAGCTTGGGAAAGGGTAGACTACTAAAGACGCACACCTCCCTAACAGTCAGAGGTACTTAGAAAAAGAAAGCTCTTTCTCCCTTCTAGCAGCCAGAAGGGATGTGGAAAGGCTTCAAACTTATCAGACACCTAAAAGCAGATATAAAAAAATAGAGGTCCCAACCAAAGTTCAGGGACAGCTTCTTGGCAAGAATCCCAGCACTCACCACTTTCCATCAGTCTGAAGTCATGGATTATGTTCCTTAGCAGCAAACTGCTCCTGGTATTTGCTGGTGGCTCTCCTGAACCCAATCTCTCATAATTGGCTCTGTCTGGTAAATTTAGTATTTAAAACTAATGGGTGTCTGGTAAATTTGCATCAAGCCCCATACTAAAAGTCCCTGGATTGTGTCAACTGTTGATCGAGCCCAGGAAAGCCAGAAGTTGCTCCCTCAGGAATCCATTAGCACTGCTCTACAAGTCAGCAAAAGAAATCATTACAGAACAATATGAGGTCCTTTTCTCCCTCGAGGACTGAATAAACTGCCTTCACTGCACTCAGACTCAAGCGCTGCCTCAAGAATATCAGATCAGGCCTGGTCCACTCTTGGATATATAACAGCATCTGGAATAATTTTCAAACACAGTTGTCACATGATTTGCATCTACAAACAACACAACAACAAACTATGTTACAAGTGTTCAGAAACCATGCCATGGACTTGCTGGAAGTGGAGAGGTGAAATACAGTGTGTGGTTTCTGTTGGTATGGTAACTTTGAAAAGGACTCTGTCCATAATATGTACTGAAGTCATACTAGTACTATACTAGCTACAAAAGTGTTCAAAAAACACTTGTCAAGCACAGTTCTGCTCTGTATAGATAAGGCCTTGTACCCTTTCTGTACTACAAAAATAATCAAGCCATGTAACCTAGTTACAACATGATTAAAAGGTGTAATGTGGATGGGACATAACTGTGATGTAAAGGTCCTGTCTAAGGTTAGGCATTTGATCATTCCAAAAATTACTGGTCAATTGACTAGTCAAATAATGTCAAAAATAGCCAAATATTGTAAAGCACTACTTTATCAAAACATTAAAAACAGTAACAAAAACTTATACTTAGGTATAAGTATCTATCTAAGATCTATTGGACACCATAAAGTCGTGGTGTCCAATAAATCTTAGATAGATACTTATACCTAAGTACAAAAAACAAGTTACTTAACTGAGTTATTTCAACTCAGAAAAATGCAAAACACAATTAAGTGAAGTTCTGAAAAAAAGGATAGCATGATTATATTTTATAGCAATATTAGGTTAGCATTTAAATATGAATTACTCAAGACTTAACAGTTACAAAAGAAAAGAAACATGAAATTAAACAGAAACAAAAACAAACACATAGCAACTATAAAAGAAAAAAAGTCATTTTTAAATGCACTTATGCTAGGCCAACTCTTCAAGCAGCTTAATGGCTGTGCATCTATTTTCTTTGTGTTAGGGGAGAAGGTTTAATGACTGAACCCTCCTCTCACTTCTGAGTTTGTATGTTTGTCTAGTCAGTTTAGATAGTAAACACTTCGGGACGTGAAGCATATCTTTTAATTTGTTTAATGTGCTTTGTAAGCTGCCATGTACATTGATGGTCTAGTATACAATGATATACATACATACAGTACACAGAATGTTTGTTCTGAAGATTATACCCAGTCAAGATGCTCAGCTTTCAATCAATTCACCTTCCCCCCCTCCCCCCCAACAGATGGCATTAGCAGGTAGGAAAGTGAATGACAAGACATTTAAGTAGGCTTGCTAAACGACAGCACTAGGATGCAATCAAAAGAGTAGGCTGCTACCCAGTTCCTGGCATTCTTGCTGGAATATTTGTTGACAATATTTGATGGTGGTCAAATAATAGTTGGCCAGTCAATTGATATTATTTGAGCAGTCAATTGACCAGCTTGCCAAGCCTAGTCCTGTCCACATTATAAATTTTAACATTATTGTAACAGGATCAGGAAATAACTCAGCTGTCATGGGGTCCCTTATTTTGGTTGTTCTTGCAGTATAGATCAGCCCTTGCAGTCCCAAACACTGATCTTCCATTCAGTGTAGAAAGACACTAAATTAGACTAGTCTGCAAAACTAACTCTTATGTGTTTTCCCTCAGATGAACTGATGCAAGTTTTTTAATATAAGTTAACCTGTGAGTAAAAATATGGAGAAGTGCACATAAAATTGCATCTAAATTGCTCTGAGCTTTCAGTGTGCAGCAACTACATTTCAGACATTAAATGCTGGCTTTCTTATCACTCTTAAAATAACTGGGCCATAACAGGAATACATTTGATCTCTAACCTTCATTTGGGAGAACTAAACTACTTCAACTATACCAGTGCTTAAGAGCGTGACAAGTAACCTTCACTCTTTTACAATTTTAGATTAGTCTCATTTTTAATTAAATAGAACAATGACAGGAAACACTTCCTGGGTTCTATTTTTACAGGCCAAGATACATCCCAGAACAAACTGTAGGACCAACTCAAAAAAACATGAACTAAACATGTATGCTGGTGAGCTGCTACACCAACACATTTACAGGGGGGATTACCCCCCCCCATTTAACAACTGCCTCATCTGAGCAGCATCTGGTGCCTTTGCCCTCAAGTACTTTCCTCCCCTCCTCCTTCGGGCCCTCTCTCTGTCCACTATCTCTTCCCTTTCAGGCCCTCATCCTACCTCATGCCCCTATCCTCCCACTGGGTCACCCCCCTCCCCCCCACTCTTCTCACCGCCCACTGGTTCCTATCTCATCTCCCCCCTCCCGGGTCCTCCCAGTCTCTTCTCCCACCTCTCCCTCAGTCCTCCCAGCTACCTCCTCAGTCACTTGCTCTCCTCTCCTCTCCTCCCTCTAGCCCCGCCTCCTTTTCGTTAGTTTCCTCTCCCCTAAAAGCTCTCCGCGCCCCCCCCGTTCCAATTTCTCAGTTCAGGCTCCGCCCCTCTCCTCTCATTCGACGTTTACCCACCGCGTTCTAGACTGTTGACAGAGCTGCCGCCCCAGAATTGGTCGGAAAGCCCGCCACTCGCTGTTGGGGGCGGGGTCGAAGCTATAAATGAGGACGTCTCGCCTAAGGGGGGGCGGCTGAAAGCTGCGGCATGCCAAGACCCGCCTCACTGGGTGTCTTCTACTCCAAGGGGCCATGTCTGGGCTCGCTCAGCCCTTACCTGCATCTCTGCCTGTCCGAAAGGGAGGGGTGTCCTGGTTTCAGCACCGTTCCCCTCCAGCGACCGTTAGGCGGTAAACAAGCATCAGCCGCTATCTCCTTCCTCACGATTGGCGGCTGGGATTCGAACGTTGGGGGGGGCAGAGGGCACGAGAGACGGGGCCCCCTCGCGATGATTGGCTG